GGGGGGGGGGGGGTATGATATTGCTACAGTCGAATGTAATGTGCGGACGTGTAGTTCAGTTTTGCGCACACAAGCGTACTGCAGGGGTTGTAGGTGTACCTCTTCGGGCTTGCGTACCCTGTTCTTGTTAAGCGTGCGTGTTTAGATCCTCTGATGGCTCTGTAGCATTTTTGTGACTACGGACCGAGTCTATACTAGATTTTGGTATTTGCCACTGACACGAATTAAATGTCAAGAAAGCAACAACAAAACAACGTGGATCCAAGGTGGTGCCAGGTGGGTGCAAGTGCATCACACCGCTTGCCCGGGGACGATATGGAAAAAAGCCTGGTTACCGAGGACGTACTTTTCGAACGCTATTTCCCTCCCCGGAACGCCACACACCCTCATTCGCCCCGGTGGTCTATTAGTGGGTAACCTCGCAACCTGCTAAGGGCCAAGTCATGGGTCCGAGTCCCGGCAGAGTTGAGTTTTTTTCTCACTAAATAAATCCTGGTCTACGATGAAAGCGACGCGCTGCACAGCTCGTTGTTAGTAAACCATTATCGACTTCGTATGTCGCGAGGGAAGGGATTGCTGTACCCTTCTCGCGATAAAAATTCCTCAGGCAGGAACCGCAGGAGGGGGTCCAGCGCCCCCCTCCTATGTGACCCCGGTTGGGTCGTCTAGCTAGTAGAAGTGGAGGATAGGGGCCCGAGGGGCAGACAACAAAGTCCAACGATGGGAGAAAAAAAAAAATCCCCTTCATCTCTTCAGCGGGAGGGGCTTATCAGGACTATAGCTACTCGGAGGAGCTTTCATACACGTGACCGTGGTAGGCGCTTGGGTGGCAGCGGTGCCGGAAAGGTCGAAAGTTTTGAACAAAAAATCCCGGTAAAACATAATTGAGATATACCATGCATATTCGCATATACACATTATGTCGTCAACGCGTCGTAAGAGTATTTTAGTGTATCATCGACCGCCCTGCAGCAGAATCGGGGTTGGATAAAAATTCCAGATCGAAAAAGTCACGTTTACTCCGGCACTGCGTACGAAACAACCTCTCAGGGCTGTCTCATGTTTGGAATATATTGAAATTCGAAGTATTCCATCCGTTGGTACCTAACACCTCAGCAGCCGTGCCGCGGCGTCGTTCGACGCAAGCAAAAGAGTCGTGCCTCCCCCTCATTGTCTTTTCATTGCCCAAATAATTGGTCCTCAATGACTGCCTTTCTTTGCAATGCACACATGCTATGCTACCCTCATGGCGGCCCGTCAGAGCTCAACCTCAAGTTTGATTGTCTGCATTTGTTATGTGTCGCAATACCAACGCTTCCTCGCTTTGCGATTCCCTCCATTGCTCTTTTCTCCAGGGCCAGGGCTGTCATGACCGTACATCAACCACTTCACCGTCGCCCGCCCCCTCCACCAATCGAAATAACATGTTGCCTCAGGGCAGGGGCACGTGAGCCAAACTTTGTTTGAGCTAAACGTTCGTTCGACTATCCATCACCCCCACCCACCCCCTTGTGCAGTTGAACTCGTTGCCCAACTTAGGTCTGCATCATCTTTATTAATGCACCGCAGATGGTTCGCCTTCCTCGTCCTCCACCTGACCTCGCTGAGCAGATTCGCTTCGTAACTAGCGACCATACAATCCATTCAGCGGCCCCTCCACACCTGGCTCCACTTCGTCTACCCTTTTATGGCATTGTTCCACCAGCTGGTTTTCGCCCCCATACCCCATACACACACTGTTCTTCGAGATAGATGGACCGTAAGAAGAAATGACCAAAACAAAACAAAGGAACCAAACAGGGTAACACGGACCGATATCAGCTGTCCAGGGCTGGAGTAGCGGGAGTCGCACCCTGGGATAAACCAGAAGTTGTACCCTTGGGCGCAATCACAAGACGTTCGTTGATGACATCCGCCACCAGAATTTCACCCGATGCGATTTCGCCAGATATGATGCGCTTCGCCAATACCGTTTCAACCTCTCTCTGGATTGTTCGCTTGAGAGGACGAGCTCCGTAGACAGGGTCATACCTAAAAACGAAAGGGCACGAGTACACGACGCGGCGGTTGCAACAAAATATGTTGAGGAACCGGCCGACACAAGTGTAGTCGCTGTCAAAAATTCTGTTTTCCGCGTCGATTTATATGTGTTAACAATATCTCATTTCTCTGTTCTTCAAAAAGAAAGCTTGGGAAGTACGGCCCCAGCAGTCACTCCTCAGTCCCCCACACATGTATGCTAAGAGACACTATGCCTGCTCTTCACTCACCCCACGGTTGAGAGGAAGTCGAGCGCGGAATCCGATGCCTCCAACGTAATATCTCTATCTGCGAGGCGGAGAGTGACTTTCTTCAGCTCAAGCCGACTGATGTGGCGCATATCCTCCGCGGAGAGTCTATCAAAGATGACGAACTCGTCGATCCTGTTGAGGAACTCGGGTCGGAACCCCTCTCGCATTGCCGCCATGACGCGGCTCCGCATTTCCTGCGCGTGAACAGCCAGGTCGAACATGTTTCAATGCACGTGAGGCACTGGCCTTGCACTGACTGACCTTGTCTTGAAGAGTCAGCCGGAAATTGAACTTTTTCATGGACGCAGATTTGTTGATTGACCACGCTGAACAGTCGGTCCAAACGACGTATCAACCAACAAGCGAACATGAGATTGACTTTGTGAATGAGAACAAGGCTGGTGCACAAAAAAGCAAAAAACGGCTCCCTCAAGTAATCGAATCGCAACTATGGTCCGACCAAAATCTGTCGCACCTCACGAGCTCCTCCACCCTCCGCAGACGAAACGTCCAAAATAGACTGACTTCCCACGTTCGACGTGAAAATGATGATGCAGTTGCAGAAATTTACCACGTTCCCCTTGCTGTCGGTAACGCGTCCATCGTCGAGAAGCTGCAACATGATGTTGAACACGTCCGGGTGGGCCTTCTCCCTGAGGGTAGGATGTGGGTGAACGGGTATTCAGCACTGGCATATTCAACTACAAGTGAAGTGCACAGGCGGGGCAACAGAACGCTACATGCGACCTCATGTTTTTGTTGGAAAACGCTAGTCTCGAGTACCGCTGATACTGCAACCCTTCCACTTGTTCGTCGGGGAGCTCACATCTCATCAAAAAGCACCACCGAGTACGGCCTCTGTCTGATGGCATCCGTGAGCTGCCCACCCTCCTCGTAGCCTACGTAGCCCGGTGGAGCCCCGACCAACCGCGAGACAGCGAACTTCTCCATGTACTCGGACATATCAATCCGGACCTGGTGGTTGAAATTGTGATATCGGTCATCAGACCATCAGCCGTAAATTGCCGACTCCCGGTTCCGCTTGTGCACTAACGATAGTTTCGACCCTACTTTGGTATGAAGCCGTGCCTCCTCACAAGGATCCAACAGCAGTGAGGACTGTGCGCCAAGTTCTTGAAAATCACTCACCAGGGCGTCCTCGGTGTCGAACATATACGCAGCTAGGGCCTTGCAGAGTTCGGTCTTGCCCACCCTGAGACGAAAGCGACGGCACAGTCAACGTGGTCGCAACAGACATGCCAAATGCCAACCGAAACGTTGGATATTTCAAGCTCGCCAGCCATGCTGCAGGATTCGCATCAGTTGCTGAGCAACTACCTGCAGATCACATGGGACAACATGTACTGAATGGACGTGCAGATGCCTCGAAACAATGTCGGGCGACAAGTCAATGCATTCGAGAGTACTCCTATAACCTTACCCAGTGGGACCTAGGAAGATGAGGCTGGCAATGGGTTTGTCCGGGTCGTTGAGTCCAGCCCTAGAACGTTGGATAGCCTCCGAAACCACCCGCACAGCCTCATCTTGGCCTACAACCCGTTGGTGCAGCTTGTCCTCTAGGTTCATCAGCTTGTCGCGTTCGCTGGACATCAGCTTTCCGGGAGGGATGCCTAGAGAATCGAACGACGCGCATGACAAGTCAATCTCGCTGCCTCTCGACCCGGCCTTGTACGATATATTAAATGAATGTGTGTGCTATCGGCTCTGGCAACACCGTATATTCTTGTACCGAAGTGGAAACTGAATACCTGTCCAAGACGCCACGACGGATGCGATGTCGTCCGGCGTGACCTCGTCTCGCAGCATGCGAGATCCGCCGTCGGTATCTGAATCCGCACCATCCTTGTCCAGAACTGCCTCTTCTGCCTCGAGTTCTTTCTGGCATATCGCGAATCATGAAGGCCACAGACGACGGCCACAAACTTGAAAAGTACCACAGGCAAGCCATGCTGATATTGATGGAATCATTGGCTGTTTGGTTTCAAAATACACGATACATTCGATGCGAGCACCTGGCATTGTGTGGACGTAGCACAGCGCCCCAAGACGATCAGCCCTCAAATGAGCTGCCTCGAAGCGGGTGCATCAACATGTAACTTACAGCACAATCTCACCTGAAGCTTCGGCATGACTGCATAGGTGAGCTCGGCTGCCTTGTTGAGGTCATACCCGCGTTCGGCATGCTCAATCTCAACCTTCAGGGCATCGATCTTTTCCTTCAATGTTTGCACCTTACCAACGCGACCTCGTTCCAAGTCCCAAGCTTTCGTGAGACCTTCCTGCGTCGATCAAAATCAACGTCGGGGAGTCAGAGAGAACGTGGCGGCCAACGTCGGCACAGCAACACGCATAACCTACTGCTGAAATCGCCGAATGATATATAAGCACGGTGTATCGTGGTGCCCATGGTGCCGCACATTGGTTAAACGCGCTATCTACTAAAAAGATGTAGCAATTTGGACCCATGAAATTGTACCCCAACCTGTTTTTCTTGGAGTTCCGCCATCTCATCGTCGATCTGTTCGATTCGCTTCAAGGCATCCGCTCGAGTCTCTTTGCCAAGTGACAGCTTCTCCATCTCCAGCTGGATAAGACGCCTGTCCACTTCATCAATCATCTGGGGCTTGCTCGTTACCTGGTTATCGAGGGAGCAAATACATTTAGCCTCACAAGACCGTGGCCACAAGAAACTCCAGCAAGAGTGGTAGGTTCTTCCCGCACATTTGGCTGTGGTGAATGCAACCTAGATAGCACTCTCACGCGGCCCACGGCATTGCAAGCCAGTATTCCCATAAAACCAAATTGCAACCCGCAATCCCACGATGGTGCATACCCTCTTCAGGTATACTGCAAAATAAGTATTGACAACGTTTACTTGCCTCGATGTTGAGTTTGGCAGCTGCTTCATCCACAAGATCGATGGCTTTATCAGGAAGGAATCTGTCTGCGATGTATCGATGGCTGAGCTGAGCGGCGGCGACGAGCGATGCATCCTGCAGTCGAACTCCGTGGTGCACTTCGTAACGTTCTTTCAAACCACGTAGGATGCTCACCTGCCATCCGAAGTAATCAAGGTGCTGTATTTCAGAAAACTCGTGTATCGCGCCCGTTCAAAAATTTCATTCAAAGTGTTCGCGAGCGCACGCACGACAGCCGCAATACAACAAGTAACCAGTGGGGCTTCTGCAAAACCTATCTACGACATGCGATGAGGTCGACTCGCTTCCATGCACACCAAGCTCTTGCATAAGGTAAATCAATGTTTACAAACGGTGAGGCAGCCGCTCACAGTATCCTCCACGTTCGGCTGCTTCACGAAAACTTGCTGAAACCTCCTCTCCAGGGCCTTGTCTTTCTCCATGTTCTGCCATGCAAAGCAAGAGAGGATAAATATAAGTCAACACCACAGCACGCAGATTGAGCCTCCCAAGCACCGTCAAGATCTGATTCTCGCCGTAATGAGATCGAAATGGAAGCACAACCACAGGGACCCTTGTGTCACTTTAGGCCCGATTGCATTCTGGGCGCGGTTCCGATTACTTAGTGCACCGAAAGATCGCCGACGTGTCTCGCATAAGAGCAAAAAACATATTCTAAATACCTAACGAGAGACCAAGAGGCAGCCCACCAAAAAGCACGCAAACAAGCAGGGTAGACACAGCACTATTTGCCATGCCGTATCTCTTTGATGTGGGGCAGATGTCCAGAATCAATGCACTGCCGAACATCCAAACGCAAAAAACCCACCGGCAGGTAAATAGGCACCCTCAACATGTGATCAACCCGATCCCGCGTGTGCGCGAGAGAGCAGAAAACGCACACTAGAGCCGATGAGATGAAGCAGGGACGTGCTGCCTGGGTGTTTGCTTTTGTTGTGGTTGAGTTGCCAGTTTATTGGGAGTGAACGGAGACGTTGTGTGCATTTTTGCTCATGGGAAAGCGTTGCTGTGACTGCAATTACCGATAGCAACTATTTTAGACCCATTTGATGTACTAGCACGGAACTGCAATTACCATGATTTTGATCATCTTCATCGAGAGAATGGATGATCATTGATTTGCTGAGTGCGCCGTTACTTTTTGCATCGACTTGGCGTGCGCGTGAGGCGGTTTGCCTTCGACGTTTTCGTCTCTAGCGCAGTGTGCTTGAGTATCCTCTGTCCAGGGATGAGGTAGAGAACATCCTTGTGCCAGCAAGTGCTTGCACAGGTACATCGTCTGTGCGGATGGTTGCTTCTTATCCGTTTACTTTCTGGGTGAGAGACACTTGCAAGAGAAATGAAAAAATACGAACCTGCTTGTATTCGTTCAGTGTTGTAGCACCGATGCACCTTAACTCGCCGCGAGCCAGCATCGGTTTGAGAAGGTTGCTTGCATCCATGGACCCGGATGTCGCCCCAGCGCCTACCACGGTGTGAATTTCGTCGATGAACATCACGACCTGCCCGTCGCTCGCCGTAACCTCCTTCAACACTGCCTGCCACGCCATCACTCGAGTCGATTAGATGTTTAGGCTTAATGACGAGAGCGGGACACGCCGTCTCCACGCTTGTACGGTTCCGACATGAAACTGTACTGTAGGTAGCGCATACACAATGGCAAGCTGCGCATTTTACTACGGTATGAGAAGACTGGCTCAAAATATCCGGGTGTAAGCTCTGCATGGATAACACACTTAAATCTTACGGGGTAGGACATGTTCTGGGTCAAAGTGCCCCGGCTGGGAGAACTTCGGGAAGAAATTCAACAATACCCGGTGTGGGTAGATTTGAGGGGAAACCTTCATGAACATACACAAGGGGTGCGCGAGCTCGATGCTGGCCGTATCGAAGTGAAAGGGTGGTCGTAGGGGCACAAAATCAAGGAGACTTGGCCACGGTACCTCTAGGACCTCCTACACGACATGGTGACCCAACACTTATGGAAAAGTAATTCTTGGGCACAATGCAACCAACGACCGGTACATGGAGTATGTTACTGCAAATTACCTTGAGGCGTTCTTCGAACTCTCCGCGGTACTTGGCGCCTGCGATTAAAGCTCCCATATCGAGCGACACTAGCTGGCGGCCTTTAAGAGATTCCGGGACGTCACCCGCAACGATACGCTGCGCGAGCCCTTCAGCAATCGCAGTCTTGCCCACTCCTGAATGTTTTCGCATGAGAATGTTGTAGCATCGATGCGTGAAACATGCACGAGTAGCGCAGAACAGCCTCGATTCCTACGCTTGAGTATGCTCGACGGGGCTTCTGCGGCAGGTTTTGAAAGGTGTCGCACATCTTTGTAGTTTGTGCTGAGGTTGTAGAAGTTTACCTGGCTCTCCCAGAAGAATAGGGTTGTTTTTCGTGCGCCTGCTAAGAATCTGGATCGTCCTGCGGATCTCGTCGTCGCGTCCAATAACAGGGTCCAGCTTCCCGTCTCGGGCGGCCTGTGTCAAGTCTCGACTATACTTCTCGAGCGCCTGTTTCAAAACGTGAACAAAAAGGAAGACGCAGAACAAGGCTCAACCCCCAAATGTGAATTCGACGAAGGGCCTTTCGCACACAGAAAATGCGCATCCAAGGCGGTGAACGCGATAGACAATGCACCAATTCCACACCAACATTTGCTGCAGCTTGAGACTGATTTTATTATAGAAATGCCGAACGAGTGACACCGATGGTTCAACCAAAATGCGCACCCATCTCGGGCAAACATACCGTCCGTGTCTATGCTGCAGCAATGCCCATCGACATCGCCTGAGCACAGCTACGTACCTCATACGCAGCCTCAGGGTTCCTGCTTGTGACTTTCTGCGGGCCCCTGATTGCGTTCACAGCATCCAAAATCTTCTTGTCGTCGGTGCCCTGATCTTGCAAGGCTTTCTTCGTAAAGCGGGTGTCTTCCCGTGCCAGGGCCAGGAAGAGATGCTCTACAGAGACAAAGCTGTCTCCGAGTTCAGCTTGAGCTGCCGAGGCCGCCACGATGACTTTTTGGAGGGTCTGGCCCATCGATTTGGAGCTAGTGTCCGACACACGCCCTTGCTTTGACCTGAGAAAATGGAGACAGCAACAAGAGAGAGGCGGGGCAAGTCGCATGAAACGTGCGACTCGATGGTCTGAGAAATGGGTCTCACTGATCTCGGCAACTACACGTTTATTTCCTGTCCATCTACCCTTTATTACAGTGTGGAAGCGCTCAACACATTCGTCGTCTTTCTCGCCCGGATTCCTGGAGAAGGAGGGGCATGCACTTGTATTTGTAAAAATGGGCCTGCAAGGTTTGAGTTGGCTACCCCGCGGCTCATCACCCCGCCCTATCTAGTATCGGAAGCCGCCAAAAGCTGCTGTCGATCTGGGATCAGTTTGGTTCCGAGTTATTGGCAGGTACGTCCTTGCCATTATGGGAAACGTTGTGCAAATACCTACCAGCACCAGGGGACGAGGAACGAAAAGAGACAGCACAATTTAGCCCAAACCTACTGCTTGTGGAAGGTTCATCTTTACGCCAACATTCCAACCCACCTCTTCCAAGTACACGACCACCGATTGTGTGCAACAAGGAGTTCGTAGCGTACCTCATCGCTACATACCTGCGGAACACATGAAGCTGGGAGAGGCCTTTCGCTTCAACAGAGTTCTACAGCAGCATAGTGATAACGTGGAAAAAACACGCTGTTACGCGAAACAGACCGGACGGACCTTGGCATGCAACAAGATAACTTCGCCAAACATTAAACGTATAAGCCACTTATCGAACGACGATACCACGTAACTATTCATGTGGAACACTCTGTAAGTGTGAAAGACGTGGGCGTAACACGTGGAACGTTCATCGGGCTTCTGTTACTACGACTCACAGAAACGAGTCAAGGTCAGAGCTGAACCTGGACGTATCCACCCCCGCTTTTTGGAGAATGCGCTGAGTAAGACCTTCAGCCCCTTCATCAAGGAGCGACTTGGTAAGCAGTTCACTCTCGACCATCTGCGTGGAGAGACCGACAGCGCGTTGTTAGCTGTTTGCGTGGGAAAAGTCGCAGTTGAACATTGTGTGGAAAGAGCCAGTGCACGCGGCAAATTAGACAATGTGTTCAGAGTTTACTGAACAGCGTTGTTCATGGAGCAGCCTTACAACTGAATGAGGACCGAATAGGTTTATGTGCATCAACATGTCACTGGCTCTAAGCTCTCACTGTTCGATGTGGTGGTGCCTGGCTTCTGTCACAATCTAGATGTGGGTCGGGTGATTCGAATGTCGGGATGGACTGCAACATCAGTTGGTCTGGAAGTGGCGTGCCTACAGCAAGTACGACATCGCTAACGAACGGAGGGTCACCTGAGCTTGGTTGAGATCAGCAAGGGCCGGTAGCCTGCCCATTGCCTCCCAGGCTCGCTCTGTGAAGGATTCTGGATTCAAGGTCTGCGGTGAACTCATCATCAGTCGAGTTTGCAGTCGATTGTGAGCCCTCGGCCGCCATTGCGGCGGTGCACACGCTCCGACGGCCGCCCGCTGCCGAGAGGAAGCCGAGATAAAGCCGCTGGATAAACTGTTTGGAACAACAAACGCGGAAGTTGGCCCCCACGCACCCAAGGCGCACCCAATTCGCACACTTAGTCTTGAAGCTCTCATGTTTTCATGTGGAAGGTGCAACAATTGTGGGTTGACGCGGTGGGCAGCAAATTTTTTTCTAGAAAACACGTGTACGCATAAAAAAATCCCGCCGCATCGGATCCCGAACCGATGAGTGGACTTCAAGGAAAGGCAACCAGAGGGCATATTGGTAGGCCAAAGGTGTTGGCGGCTGGCTGTCGAGGCTCTTCAGCGTAGAGAGGCAAGACTTCGTATTGGTGAGTGCACTCAGGCACGCACACCCCTGTGCCGGCTGGATATATCATCTACTCGTCGCTGTGATGTTGAGCCTACTCTCATCTCTCTCTCGATCTACTAGCTGAGACAACCAACACACGTATGCATACGTTCGCTTCACCTCCCCTCTGCACGGTCCTGTGTGTGTGTGATTGCTGCTTCACTCATCTCGCACAGCCGTCCGATAACAGCTAATGAACTAAATAAGCTGTCGCAGTGATTCACCCATGGGAGACTGCTAGTCCATTAAACTTACTTCGTTGGAGAAGATGTGCATGTGAAAACAGCAGCATTGGTGTACGAGATGTGTAGGAGCCTGTACTCTTGTCTGTAGAGCAGTACATCACGCGTAGAAGCCTCTCAACAACTTGCGTATTTCTGTCTGTGAGACGTGTGGATTCCCAAGAGAACATGTAAGAGAGGAAACCAGTGCTATGCAGTTTGACCCATAAATACGATCGCATCACCGCACAGGCCAACTGACAACGTGTTTGTGTCAATATCGCACGCAGTACGCCATCCCTGGGTACGCAATCGGTCCCTAAGAATCGAGGTCGAACAAATTTTAGTGTTGTGGGTGTGAACCCATTTTTGAACAAAAAAAACATAGCCGATCGCACAGGAGTGCGCGTTCTCTCGGACTGTCACTGCCGTTTTCTGGATAAGCACCCACCCCGATGCCTCTCCACTCGGCACAACAATGCATTAAGACTCTGGGGACAAGAAGACAAGCACGAGTTCACCACGTAGAGAAAGAGGTAAGAGAGTGTGTGTGGAGGCTCCAGCGAGTAAGAAACAACATAACCCCACTTGCATGTGTTCTCTTCCAGGTGTGCGAAGGTTTGTAGTATGGGGACCCGCCTCATGATGGCCTTAGGCTTGATGCCTTGGTGCTCAGGGTTTCTTGCACCGCCGTGGTCTTCAAATTCAAAGTTCCAGCATGTTACGACGAAGTTTGCATTCAAACGGGACGTGTATGAGGACCACCGAATGAGATCATCGTCATCATCGATGATGATGATGGCCAAGAAGAGGAAGGGACCGGCTGCAGACGCGTTGGCCCAGTTGGAAGCCCTAGAGGCAGAACTTGAACCTGTCTCTGTGGATGTGGAAGGGAGTCCACCGCCTTTGCCAAAACAGAAGAAGAACAAGAAGAAGAAGGGCCCCAAGGGCGCCGCGGCCGACGCATTGGCCCAATTGGAGGAACTAGAGGCTGAAGGTGAATCTCTTCCCCCGTATCTCCGCACATCCATAGCATGGGTATGTGTGCTAATGGGGCGCGTGCTGTCCAATCTCGAAGTGTTTCGGGTGTAAGTAAACATCACATAAGTCGCAAACGTTTGAAGCGGCTGGCATTGGTACGGCAGTCACATTGAGAGAGGTCATGGTGTTAGAGATGCTACCTAACTTCGTGCCAGACGATCAACGTTCGGTAGAATTCGAATCTCTCCCCCACAAATAAAACATCTTGTTTGTTTGTCGCGCTTGTGGTCTTTATTGCCAGGAGAGCTTGGGCAGATGGACATCCCGGCGGCTGAGGCTGCTGCTACTGCTCCTCCAGCCGAACACGAGGTTGACAGGAAGGAAGCACGAGAGGCAGAGGTAGAGGTCAACTTATTGCAGCCTCCACCGCGACCCAAGAAGGGAAAGAAGAAGCGTGGGGCGGGGGGGATTGAGGAACGGTTGGACGACTTCAAGGGTGAGGTAAGATACTCGTAGCTCCCCAAGCAATACGCCCATTTTTTCTTTGCGTTCATCCCGCACGGCAAAATCCAATTTCTCGGGAGTTGTAAAGACATCTGAAGGGTGCAATCGTATGCAACTTTTCTGTCCGCGGAGGGTGTGAATATCATCCAACACAGAAATGACGGGTGACTGCATTCGCCTGCTTTGTCAAGTATTTCATTACCTCTTTCGTTGCCCTTGATCGTCCTGCGGTGCCGTCGACCAAGTGGCATATACTGTTCGCAGATTCGATGCGCCCAGAAGACCAGATGCAATTTTATCTCTTTGTCGGCTATGCGAGCCCAAGCACATGCGTAAACTCACGGCGCACAATGACGATGTTTTTTCCATGTGTCGTGTGCTTGTGCAAAGGGAGACGAGAAAATGGTGGACCACGGGCCCTCCCAGGAGGAGACGGCGACCCCGAAAGAGGCTGAGGTTGGAAAAGAGACTCTTGAGTCCAAAATTCGGAAGTCGAGGCCGCCCCCGCGAGTTCGAATATCGAGCAGCTCGCAGCCCGGGTTTGTCTCGCTCCGCCTGGAAGGTGTCGCTGTTACGTTCAGGAATCAGGAGGTTGTCAAGGACGCCACGTGGGATGTCAAAACGGGAGACCGGATAGGCTTGGTTGGACCCAACGGTGCGTGAAGATTGTCTTGTGGACGAATGGATTCCAGAACCGTGTCTGGTTCGAACTCCTCCCGATGGCTTTCTCTGTGTCCTGATGACTGCAATAGCGGTGTCATGTTTTTATGCCTCATGATGTATTCTGATGTTTGTTATTCCAGGCGGGGGCAAGACTACACAGGTGAAAATCTTGGCGGGTGACCTCGAGCCGACTGCAGGGGAAGTGATCAAGTCATCCAAGGATCTGCGTGTTGCGTTTCTCCGACAAGAGTTTGTGGACGAGCTTGTGATGGAGCGTTCGCTCAAAGACGAACTAATCTCGGTCTTCACGGAAGAGGCAGCAATTCTTGCGGCGCTCCAGAGATGCGAGGTGCGTAAAACTTCATCGACCCCCGGCTTTTGTTCATATGGCAAGGAGTGTCTTCGGGAACGTGACCATGAAACGATCGCGAGCTGAAGTTGGTGGAAACGCTGTCGTACTGATTATTGCCGCCGAGTTCATGCCTGGAGGGTGTTGGTGCGCTTACTCTTGCCTTTTCGGTGGCTGGACTCTCGTCGTTCGGACTATCCTCTGTTGCATGTTTAGTTGGTTCTCGGGGAGAGAGGTACCGAAACATTGTCCGATCCCATTGTGCCGGAGAGTTTGGGTACGAATGTTGCTCACTGCGATGTGTCTGGAATGCTCCCTCAGTTGGGGAACCCTTTGTAGTTTTATCTGGTTTGCCCCAACAGGCTGGACAATGAATTGCCTGTTATACTCGAACCTTACAATTTGTCCACCACACGGCGTCAAGGATGAACTGCAAGAGGAGGCTGTCCAACAGGACCCGGCTAAGATGGAGGGAGTCCTGAACCGCCTTTCGAATCTGCAAGAAGACGCTGAACGTAACCGTGTTTACGATCTCAGCACCAAGGTGCAGCGGGTCATGGATCTAATGGGATTCCAAATCAGGTGAAGGCACTGACCCATGCTCACGTGGTATCACCTTGCGAACGGTTTGCATACATTCATGTTGGTTCCCTCATGAAGGTTGCCAACATCTGACGTCCGGTACACTTGAAAGATATACCTGCAAGAATTGAACAAAAGCTACAAGAGCGGCTGTAGCCGGTCAGATCAGCGCTTGACGTGACCGTATTTTGGTTGCTATCGATTTCTTCTATATGACCGTGCAGCGAGGGAGAACAGCCCGTGTCAAGCTTTAGCGGGGGCTGGCGCATGCGTATCGGGCTCGGCAAGATCCTGCTGAAAGACCCCAATATTCTCCTGTTGGACGAGCCGACAAACCACTTGGATATGGAGAGCGTGGAGTGGCTGGAGAGCTTCCTTCAAAACCAAAACCTTCCCATGGTTATTGTCAGCCACGACAGAGAGTTCCTCGACCGCGTATGCACCGGAATCGTCGACACAGATGGTGGTGTAGCCGTGTCCTACCCCGGCAACTACAGCAACTTCATTAAGCTGAAGCGAGCAAGGCTCGAGTCTTGGCAAGCGTCGTACAAAAACCAACAAAAAAAGATCAAGGAGGAGCGCAACTGGATCAACAAGTTTAAATCAAAGTAATGTGGGGCTTTTCTGATTGTGGATCACCCATGCACGAGCTTTTAGTCTTCTTGTGTGAGAGCTCCTTTGCTACACCGCAGCCGCTGGACTCATTTCTCGACGTCGATGGTTGATTTCTGTTGACGGGGGGTTTCTTCATACAGGGTTCCATTCAACAGCATGCGCGCGAATCAATGTTTTTTCCGTGGAAAGATTCTCTCCCAAAGTCACCGCTCCCCGTTTGTTGTTCGTAATCGTTTGACAGGGGAGCATGGGCTGCGCAGGTCAAGTCGCGCCAAAAGGCTTTGGACAAGCTGATAGCCAGTGACGACTTCGTGAAACAACCTCCCAATATGGGTAAGCCTTTCCGCTTCCGCTTCCCACCTGCACCACGCATGAGTGCAAGCGAGGAAGTTGTCTCTGCAAACGGAGTCAGCCACGGCTACAACGGTAGACGGCTTTTCAGCGACGTCAACTTAGTGGTGGAAAAAGGCGAGCGGATCGCATTTCTTGGGCCGAATGGGGCGGGTAAGTCAACCTTGCTGAGACTCGTTGTCGGGCAAGAAGAACCGGAAGAGGGTTCCTGTCGCCTTGGTTCTGGTGTGGTGAAGCAGTACTTCGAGCAGAATCAAGCAGATGTACTCGACCTTTCCTTGACGGTTATCGAGACCTTGATGAAAGCCTCCACAGGAGAAAAATACGAAGATCTGCGGAAGTTGCTTGGGCAGTTCCTATTTAAAGGCGATGCTGTGGACAAATCTGTCGAACAACTCAGCGGGGGCGAGAAGGCGCGGGTGTCTCTATGCAAAATGATGCTCACGCCAGCCAATCTCCTGGTTTTGGACGAGCCGACCAACCATCTCGACATCCCTGCCAAGGAGATGCTGGAAGAAGCACTCCAACACTACGAAGGATCAGTACTGGTGGTATCCCACGATCGGTACTTCGTGAGCCAGGTGAGCTAGATTGGAACAAGATTGCGGCGGATAGCATTGGCGAGAGTTATCGGCACGGGGTCAGGGCGCTTCAGTTGTTCGGATGTCCGTATGAACAGTAGTACTGGCTTTCATCCGAACTACTAAAGCAGCCGATTCTCGCTCTTGTGTTGCGTCAGGCGGCCTGCGAGAATCGGCTGCTTTAGTAGTTCGGATGAAAGCCAGTACTACTGTACATACGGACCCTAAGACGTGTCTACGTCCATTAACGTGTGTCCTTCCGTGGGTACACAGGTGGCGACAACGATTTGCAACTTGGAGGAAGAAAAACTTGTTCGATATGACGGGGACTATCGGTATTTCCTGGAGAGCAATGGCAACATCTTGGAGAAAGTGGAATCGAGATATGTCGCGGGGTTATCCGGCATCCAGAAGGCCAAACGAGTGGATTTGGAAGAGATGAGAAGATCCAAGAAATCCTTCGGCGGGAAAGGGGGACCAAGTGGACGAAAGGACAAAGGCGTCAAGAACGCCAAGCGAAATACAGACAAAGTGTTTTGAGTGTTTTGATTGATACTGGGATATTTTGGACCCCACCTGCGGTATCAAGCCACGGGCACACCTTTGCTTGCTGGGATTAGGTGTAGTGAGTATAGACAGTCGGTTTCGTTGCAAGTACGTCAACTGAGATACAAAGCAGGAGACGACCAAAGAAGACGGCCGACTTTCGTGTCACAGAACAATGTTCAAACACGGGACCATCGCACCCTCTTTGTCTTGTCCTGCAGAAGGCAAGCAATGCTAGTGACCTAGGGGGTCACGTGAGACTTGGGGATGATGTTCTGTGCGTTAAAGCAGCAAATTGTTTCAGGATACAGCCTGTGGCGTGGGAGACCGACCAGGCTGTGCAACATACACAAGAACACGCTTTCGTGCACACTTCAACTTCAACAAAAAGAGGGAAAGGAAAGCATACTGAAGTTATGCTGAAGGCGGTCGGCAGATCATCCAATCTGCTACATCACCACCGCGATGTCAACAATGGCAAACAACGGCAACCAGGCAGCGTATTCCATCAAGTAGAGATCGAAGTCCGTCCATGCCATCCAAAAGCTCTACACTTACTTCGCAACGCTTTAGACGGGTGATAGCTCGGGACTCTTCGTACGCGGTTTATAGCCCTTTGCAAAGTTCTTGTATGGATACAGAGAGCTGTGCCCATCATCCCACTTGACGCTGACCGCGTAGTTTCCTATCGGGGCAAACTCAGTCGGTACGATGTTCTCAGGCACGCTCGCAGGGTCCAGCAGGGGCTTTCCCGAGAACTCCTCGACGCAGAGAGCGCACCGGCATTGTCGCCGAAGGTCGGCCGCGGCCATCACTTGCTTGCCGCCACTCGTCTCTATCATGACGGTGCCTTCGGCCGGTTGGAACGACAGCATCGGCCGGTCGTTGTCGCTGAACTTAAGTTTTGCCACCTCTCGTACAACAGCTTCCGCCAACTGTGAGAAGGATTCCGAGTGGTCGCTGTCGGGCTTGGACACAACGAACGGAATACCTGAATCTCCGCTGGACGCCACATCCGCCACCAAGGGCATGCGAATGGTGTTCGTTATGCCCCACATGTCCGCCAAGCGCATTTGGTGTCCCTTCCCGAAAATGTACTCCCGCTGCTTTGTGCTGGCTCGCTTTTTCATCACTTCGGCGATCACCGCAGCTCGCAAAGCCGTCTCGTCTTGAGGCGGTGAAGCAAGACCTTCGCGAGCTGCAGCGGCAGACAACTCATCGCTATCAAGCGTGAGCAGATCCTCGATGTTACTCTCCAAGCCAGTTTTGAACGCCGTTTGATCGACCGCGTCGTAGTAGGCCATGTTCTCCACCACAGCCACGCTTGGAACATTTACAGTGTCGAAAAGATCAATCCCCTTCACCACGTCGGTGAAGCTGAGCTTTTGAGGAGTTGTGACGATTACTGCTGCTGTAATGTTCAAGACCTGTTGTTCACATACACCGCACGCATAGGTCGACGACGAGCGGCCACAGTTCTTATATGATGGGCATCAAGCACAGGACAAGACGCGAGCGATTTAATTTTTGTCACTCAAGCAAAAAGCAAGAGCGTGCTGCTGTTGGCAGTGGTTCGAGCATTCCTGCGAATGGCATTGCCACCACGGGAGTCCTTCCATGCCATCACAACCGGAATACGGAAGTCTTGGTACAGCACAGCTCAAGTTGTTGAGACTATTGTGTACATGTAAAACAGAGAGAGCTTGGCGAACACTTGCTTGGGTGGATTGATCATTCGCATGTTTTCAACCGAGCCGGGGTTACACTCAGTTGCACATGGATGCACATGGACGGAGCACTTCGACCAAACTTGAGCGGGTGGTGCTTCATTGTCACGGATGCTACACGATTCTGGGGGCAAAAAAGGTCACACAACGGCCACAGATCGAGAGCCTGAGACAAATCACCACAAGCAACATACCAGCGTACCTGGCACAAGGTCAGCTGAATATCTCCAGTGCCCGGAGGCATGTCGATCACCAAGTAATCTAATTCCCCCCAACTCGTAAGTGTAACGAACTGCGACAGGAGTTGGGAGACCATGGGACCTCGCATAATGGCTGCTCCCTGGTTTACGAAGCCGTAGCTCATGAGCTTCACCCCGTGAGCTGTCATTGGTCGAATCTGATTTCCCACAAACTCCACTTCCTCCCTGTCGGGCTTAACCATGGTGGGTAGACTCGGACCATAGATGTCGGCGTCGAGGATCCCGACTTTGGCACCTTGCTTGTCGAGCGCGTAGGCGAGGTTGACAGCTGTAGTCGATTTCCCTACGCCGCCTTTGCAGCTGGAGACCGCAATTATGGTGGCAACTTTTGACAGGCCAGTAGGGACGGTGTCCGACACATCCCGCACTGGCTGCGCTGTCATCGTCACTTCAGCCCGATCAACCCAGGGTAGTGCCTCAACGAGATCTCGGCAATCTTGTTGAAACTGGGCCTTCACCGGGCAAGCAGGTGTGGTTAGCTCGACATCGAAGGTCACGACCTGTCGGCCTTCGTCCTCACCAGAAATCTCAAGCTCTTTGATAAAGCCGAGCGATACTATGTCCATTGATAGATCTTTTTTGAGTTAACAACGACGGAAGAAACGGGACAAAGTGTTAAGGGGAGCAGCGCCGATGATGAGTTGGATCCGCGGGAAGGTACAGCAGTAGTGGATCTGCCAGCAATCATCCGCACCCAAACTGAGACACGTGACTGCACTTCACGCCGAAATACGAGGGACGAGGCGGCGATAACAGATCTTGGGCTTGTTTTTGTTTGCTTTACTTTGCTTGGCCTCGCATGTGAGCGGGAGCGACGGACTCTGATCCATGTTTTGGCCTTTCCGTAAAATGTTCGTCCGATCTGTCCACGTCCGAATCCATCTTGGGGCAAGTATTCGGCTTGTCACTATCCCAATTGTGTCGATCTGGGTCTCATTTTGTCGTTGGTACTTATGGTATATGTGCCCGCTTGGGATGACGACCAAGCAACGCGTCCGCGTCAATTGACGAGCGGATAACAGAGGAGAATGAGCAGATATGTGACCGACTGTGAACAGTAATGGAACATGAACAACCTTCTCCGTGGGTTCGCATACCAACTCAGCGTGCCCTTCGCGGCTAGAGTTTCAAACTGAGATCAAACGTGAGAAAAACGGGGTTTCGAGGACCCACCCAACCTGCTGACATAGTAGCAGCGCTGTGTCATGCAAGTTGCAGCTGTTACATCACGTGTTTGCCCGCGTGTAGCTTTTGTGTGCCGAGGAGGAAATTGTTGCCTCTTCCAAGTACGCTACGATCAGGTTACGTACTGCTGGTACATATATCTACCTGGTGAGTTATTAGGAGAAACGAATATACACACAGAAAGACTACCCGTTCGAGGTATAACTATTTACACTCGAAGGGGATGTGTTGAAGTCTTTACAGTGAGTAGAGGAAAACCAGCTGGGTACTTGACTTATTTCGAGTTTGTTTAAGCCTATACACTGATGATTTATATCAGTGATACCAGTTGGTGCTTAGCACAAAAACATCTGCGTAGGTACATTTACATGTGGCCTGCACAGGGAACACGGCGCAATATGTTGAGTTATCTCGAATGGGTTGTAGTCTTTCTGTTTTCGTATTTATGCGCATGTTTCCTATTAATACTAAAAATAAACTTACGCTTGGGCTTACAGCAGGATGTTCAGGAATTCGTAGCGTCGCGCTGGGTGCATGTCTGCGTGCGATTCGTCTAGTTCATCAATTCAAAGTAAAGGGGCGCGTACATTGTAGCTATTCAAGTTACAGTCATCTCACCGGGATCCATCACAGCCGACAGCACGGCAAGGACCTCGTCCTTCCGGCCGGGAGAAGTGTCGCTAGTCGTTTCCGTCATCATGCTAACATGATAAGATCTCGCTCGTTGCTGGACAGGCAAGGAGGTACTCTTACACGAGTATTGGTGGGGCCATATTCTCTGCTTCGCTCGATGTTGAGAGAATGGCTGCACGAAGGCCTTCGAGCAAAGGCACTGCAGAGAAGCGACGGCTGCTGCGACAACACAAGGTCTCGTCAACTGCATGTGCATGATGCACAACGCGTCCAAATACCCACTCCACTCCTGCGTAGTTTCGAGCACCCCTCAGGCCGTAGACAGGCGAAGAGGGGGTCAAGTAGCACGAGAGGAAGATACCAGGGGTGAAGGGTGTCGGGGGAGTAGGCCGTGGCCGAGGTAGAGACAGCAGGTAGGTCAGAAGTTGACGCCCCGCTTCCCGGCCCAACACACACAATCCCATCCTTGGTGAATTAAAAAAAACACAGAATAGAGCGGTTCATAACACGAAAAACTGAACCCCCTAGAGGGACCTATCCCCAATCCTCCTCAACGTGTGCCCCCCTCTGTGTGTTGGGGGCTGGGCTGGATCTGTCGAAGTCGCAAGTCCTGGTACACTTGCACTTACACCCACCCTGCTACTTTTTGCAAGAAGGTGAAGATGGTCAAGCTCACGGTAAAGACTATCAAGGGGAAGAAGTTTCAGATCGAGGTGGAGCAGACGCAAACGGTGAGGCGTGCCCCCCTAGAACCGCTGGAGAGGTCCATTTACAAATGATGTCCTGGGACAGACAGCAAGCAGGTCATTGAGTTCTTTCTTAGTGCTCTGTGCTCTGTGCCCAGTGCCCTAATGCGTATGAATCTGACAACGTTGGCACTGTGCCACTCTGATATTCTCGACATCATGTGCTGTCATTTTTCAGGTGAGAGAGGTGAAGGGGGTCATCGAAGAGCAAAATGCCGAGTTCCCGGCCGCGCAGCTTACGCTGATCCACTCTGGCCAGATCTTGAAGGATGAGAGCACCTTGGCGGAATATAAAATCAAGGAGAAAGAGTTCCTGGTGTGCATGGTGACAAAGGTGAGGAATCGAACCTCTAGAAGGAGTGTCCCTTGTTATTGATAGAGGGTGAACTTTGGCTCGACGGTTGACACAAAACTGCCGCGTGCATCTTCGTATGGTGATCTGCTAGGGGCCGCGGGGTAAACGTGACATGCCTAGACTACTCTTCCTGTATATACCATGATTATATGTATGTAGACTATTAACATGTACAGCAGTAGCAGTCGCTTACTTTTTTCTCTGCTTTTTGAAAGAGCGTGTATGCGTGGGACCGTGTAGCGTGATGATTGGATGGTATGGAGGTCGGCACACAGCAGTTGACTCTTTTTATTCGAGAATGTCCTGAGAAACGAAAAACGCCCCTTGGTCAAAACTCCGCTGCTGCTGTAGACTACCGTATATGACACAAGATAACACACCCCCTGGACCGATTTTCAAAGCTCGATTACTCCACGACGAAGACGATGCATAAACGAAATGATACATTTTCGAAAAGCTCTCAACCAGACAATTTCAATGCCGCCGTTTTCGGCGCTGTTACTGTTTCTGCAGTTGAGAAATCGAGCTTCGAAAATCGGTCAAGGGGGTGTGTTATCTTACGTCATATACGGTACTGCTGACAGCACAAGTATAGAGCAAATGCACAGCGGATGCCAAACTCATGTGTGCTCCACCGCGGCCCTCGAGTCTGCGGGGCGCTCTGTGTGCCAAATTCATTGTCTCAGTATCCGCCGCCGCCCTACATGTTGCGTTCCTCTGTCATGTGGAGAGGGGAGCACGGGCCATCCTGTAGCTCTGTAAGGAGGCTTGTGCATTTCAGACGATGGGACTTGTTGGAGTGCAACAAAGCTTGCTTCCCAGCCTTCGCAACTGCGCTGATAGCAATGGATCGTAATGGGAACACATGCCAATACCACCGACGCAAGCACTCTACCCGAGTATGTACATGGGGGACCGTCGAGAGTATGAACTCCCGCCAGACCATTACAAGCTGCTTGTTTGAAAAATGCGTGTCGTGCATCGTGTGTTCCCACTAGCATGCTAGGCGAGTCGCGCCGCAGGGTGGCAAGCCTCATGACTACGGCGGAATACTCTAGGTACCGGGATGGAGCTGGATCTGGCATCGTCATCCCGTTGACTTGTTGTATTCCCTCCGCCGCTGCTTACTTTCATTTTTGATGCCTTGGATACTTGAAGCCCAAGCCAGCCGCGGCCGCACCGGCTGCTCCGGCTCCCGCGCCATCTCCCGCCCCTGCTACAGCGGCGGCAGCGCCTGCAGCCGCACCTGCTGCACCAGCTGCGCCTGCCGCCCCCAACGCGGACCACGTTCGTCAGCTCACCGAAATGGGGTTCCCTGAAGACCAGGTCACGGCCGCTCTCCGTGCTGCAATGGGAAACCCGGATGTTGCTGTGGAGTTTCTCATGACAGGCATTCCTGATAACATTCAGGTTAGTGTTTCATGCATCGCGACCTGCACCATGTGGTGCTCCCACCGAATCTCCGCTGGCAGAATCACTTTGAATTCACGTAGCAAGAAGCACAAAGATTTATCTACGGGCAACACGGAGTACCGAGCGTTTTGTTGCCTCTACAGGACGCTTCTTGGCTTTTTTGCGGTCGATGCACAGTGCGGTCGTAGACCAGACGCTTGTGTAGGAGCGAAGGACAATACCCACCTGGTGGAGCGCGCATCTGTCGTGTGCCGTACGCATAGGAGCGCTTTTCGGAACTCGTTTTCTTCAGCGCATCGATCGCTAATTATTCACGCGTTTTCTTCAACCGCCGGCCTCTCACTTGTACTTCAATACTTGATCGTATGTTCCAGTGGAAGAATGTTGAGCACGTGCATCGGAAGGGCCCTCGTAGTGGAAACAGGTATATGCAACTGCTGTAGTATACTACGATGCAAATAAGGGTGGTCTTTCCGCGCCGCCGGTGGCTCCTGGTGTGATTTGAAGGTCACAGTTGTAGTCTGAAACGTGGTCGCGTCCACAGATTATGCGATGTACGTTCTGACCATTTCCTGTTGTGCGACATGTTGAATCATGTTGATGAAACGTTTCCGCCCCCCCCTGGTTGTCGACCACCAAAAAACTGCCCAGGCCGCAGCCGCTCCTGCTCAGGCGGGTGCTGCACCTACCGGAGCCATGGAAACTTTAGAAGACTTTCGTGGTCACCCCCAATTCAATGAGCTGAAGCGCTTGGTGCAGCGTGACCCGACACAGCTGTCGAGCATCCTGCAGATGATCGGGCGACAGAGCCCGAACCTTCTCGCTCGCATCCACGAAAACCAGGGAGATTTCATTGCACTCATGAATGAGCCCATCGATGAGTCTGCCACCCCTGCAGCGGTTGCGGGAAATGCAGGCGGCATGGGTGGCTTTGGCTCTATGATGGGGTGAGTAAGATCACTACGAGAACGGCGTGTTGAACAGCAGCATTGATGTATTTCGGTTCAGCCACACTACTGAAGCAACGAAATGGTGTGGTGCAGAAGCCCGCTATACCAGCACGTGATGCGGTGTTGTATTGTGACATGTGCCCGGGCTGGATGTGGGAACAATCGTGTTGGCGTAGCCACCAGTGTTGTTTTCATGAGGTTCATTTTTTAGAGTGTGTGTTGGCAGAGCTGTTTCGGCAATTGGTCGCAAGCTGAATAATTGTATCAGGGCATGTATATTCAACGTTATTCCAATGGCAACCCAGCATCTCTATTGGGCTATGACGCCTAGTTTTCCTCTGCCGTTTCGGGCTCATTCTCTTTGAAGTTGCGCACCCTCTCCTTGTGAGTGAGACGTAGCGCACTCAAATCCCCTGTTAGATATCCCGAATGCCCGCGACCCCGCGTTTCATGTCCGAACGAAGTGCTTTGCCGTAGTAATGATTCTTGGATGATTCGTATTCAAAAGGCAGACATGATGTAGCTCGATGGTGGGGATGTGTATGCTGCCCATTCTTGAAAAGTTTTTGTTGTGCCTTTTCGTTGTGTCGTCAGCTCCGGAGGCCAAGCCAATAACCCTGCCCAGGTGGCTCAATTGCTGCAAGGCATGAGTCCTGCACAGCGAGCACAAATGGCAGCTGCAATGGGAATGTCTCCTCAGCAGCTTGCGCAGGTGCGATGGCTTTTTTCCGTTGCGCGCAAGCGATTCGGATGCAACCATGTTTTCTTTTATCCACGTCATCATCGTTCGTTAGAAGATAGAAATGTGCATGCGCCAACAAGGTATGAACCAATAAAAATCACGTGTCGTTCCCGCAATGCCATGCCTTGTGTACCTGACGCATGTGTGCTCCCAGGTGAGCCAGGTAATCGGGCAAATGCCGCAAGAGCAGTTCCAGCAGCTGATGGGGTCGATGAATGCGGGGGGCATGCCGGGTGCTGGGATGGGAGGTATGACTCCAGGAGCTGGTGGCGCTGGCGGGAACGTAATTCGTCTTTCGGAGGAAGAAGGTGCAGCCGTGGCCCGCCTCACGGAGCTTGGGTTCGACAGAACAGATGCAGCACAGGTGCGCAGGCCTAGAATCCGAGTCACTGATCTTGTTGGTAGTTGGTGGCTCAAGAGTGAAACTGGTGTGGTAGTGGGCGATACGCAGCTAAGCTGCTAGAACTGACACATGAACATCCAGCTTTCAAGAAACATGCATGGCATACTCCAGCTTCATCTATGAAAATCGTTAACCTTCTGGCTGCTGTTGGAATTTCTGGTACAGTATTGAACCTGTGCACAGGTTGCATGCGATGTGTCCATTGCTCTGTCCGCGGCGCTCATTGCAGTTTCATCTCTCGAGCCCCAGGGATTTTTTGTTTCTTTTTTGTCTTCACTCCAAGTCAGCCCTCGTAGCACTGGTGCCGTTTACTCTCTCTCACCCGTGGTCACACAGAAGAGCCCCTCTCTTCCCTCTGTGTACGCACTAACTAGCGCTATCCACTAGGCCAGGAGCGGAAGCGAGAGAAAATCTCACTCTGCAAGAAAAGCTCGCTTACACCGGGATTCGAACCCTTGACCTGACCTCTAGAAGGTTTCGAGGTTACCAACTATTAATAGACCACCGGGGCGACCGGCTAAATAGGTTTGGTTGAATGTCGGACTATATCAGGGGGCCATGCTTGAAGCCTCGTGGCTGCGCTTGGTGTACTCGCAAACTAATCGTGTTTCGGCAAAATATGTCCACTTGTGCGATGCACAAACGTCGACATCGAAACACCGCAGTCAAACTAGTCTGTTTGTTTCATTGGCCTGATACCTTGCGTACACAAGAAAACGACAGGCGCACGTTATGTTTCGTAGTCTGAGGAAAGCAGAATGTAAAGGCCCAGTTTTCGCGGTCTGCCACACAGTTGGCCTAACGCGTTGTCACTGCTTATTTGTTTTGATGTGTTTTCTTTCTCCCTTTCCACAGGCATATTTGGCATGCGACAAGAACGAGGCACTCGCGGCAAATTTCCTTCTCAACGATATGGGTGCAGGCATGCCGCCGGCCTTTCAAGCACCAGCTCCTGTCCCAGCACCACCTACGGCCGCCAACCCAGCGACTCCCGTGCCCGCCCCGACAGCAAGTAGCGACTCGACGGCCCCATCGGCTACTGAAACTCCTGCCGACCCTTCTCCTGCCACCGGAGAATCTTCCGCTACGAACCCATCCGCGGATGGCAACAACCCACAAGGAGGTGGTGACGAAGACGAGGATATGTATGGATAGGTACTGGGCACATACACCGGAGGTTGGGATGTTGAGGGCCCCGTAAATTGAGATAAGCCGGGCGAATGAAAGACTTGAGTCTTGACGAAGTACTTGAGCGGTCGAGGATGCTTTCTTTTCCCACTAGTGATGAGTCTCCCCGTTGGTGCCACACGCCTGCTGTTGTCTTCTTGCGGTGCCGTGATGTTGCGAGGCGGCCGAGTAGGCTGATCGTGTGAAGGGCGGGCATGGCTGTCGAAGAGTGTTTTGAATTTTCACAGTTTTGCAGCGCGCACAAGTTTGACATTCTGGCAGCTGCGAGGACGCGACGAGCAGGTACATTGCTCACACGTGGAGATCATCAAGTTTTCGCCATGTGGTCTGTCTGGACTCGGCGCCTTGAAGGAAACTCCAAGAACATTAATCAAAACCACCAACCTTAACTTGTTCATCACCACCGCCGCAGGAGGAAATGTGGAGCAATTATTAATGAGAAACTCCTGTTTGACCCCGGCTGATGCGTCAAACATTTACACCGCGCGGTGTAGGCTGGCGCTAGGATAATGGGGACAAACATACATTCGCACACATCACGGCCACACGTGTAACACCGCCAATGTGACCAACGCATGTGTACCAGGGGCGAGACGAGTCATTCATGCTCCCGACGGGTCGAGCGAGCAATAAAGAACCTGTCCCTCATTGCCGGCTCTGCGGGTCTCGACAGAACGGCTGTAGTCGACCGCATACACATGCCACCGGTTGCTTGGGCGTGCAAAGTTGCAGACCTATTTCAGGGTCTTGATGGCCCAATTCAAGTGGGCACGCAGTTGGCGGGCGGCCGGATAAGTCATGTCTCTTGGTACACCGACCTGTAAAATAAGTGTCACGACAAGGTAGATCGGCAGAGACGATTGATGACGTTAGAACTTGAGCACCGCAGTCTAATGGACAAAATCGCAGCCGCATTCACAATAGACTATAGAAAGGCAAGGTTATATACAAAAAATTGATCGATTGCCGCTCGTCGCACCACCAGCGACTTGCTGATTTCCTCGACCTCGACACTCGAATGGTACAACCGGCATGCAGCGCGGCGGCACTGATTATCTTCCAACATTCCATCACTGCAAGTGATTCGACACTCACCCGATCTCTGAGGTAAACCAAAGAGGCTTCAACTGCGGCGGCTGTCCCGGGGTGGCCTCCGCTGCTAGTTGCTCCGCGCTTGAGGGCAGCTTCGTCTTCGTCAAGAGTCCCCTTCAGTAGAGCAGAGGCTACCTGCGACATCAAATTGGACAAGGAATACACAATCTGAACACATGACACTCTCGGAAATTTCTTGATTCAGAGCGCGATCCGCAAACGCCAGCACGAGGCCAACCCACGGAAGACTTGCAAACCGGCGGATAACAAAAAACAGTGCGGACTTGATCGCTGACATTTGACAAAATAGATATCCAACACCGATCTTACCCGACGTAAACAGTAGTCCACGTCCGGCAAAATTTCAAGGTTAGGGGTGGCGTTTGGGTCCGAAAGAGGTGCTCGACCAGGCAGCAGGTTCCATCCAGATCCTCTTCCAGCGCCGCGGCAAGCAAATTTCGCTACGGCCTCGGCGTTGCCTATTAACTTGTACGCCGCTTCGTGCCTAGTTTGCGGAACAGCGAAACCAACGAGCAATCCGTAGCGGCAGGGTAAGGGTGCTGTGCAGAAACGGTTGGCACGATCAAAACTGCTCGGAGCTTCTGCCGCTTCACCTGGCTCCATCTTCTCCGGGGTTGTTGTCGCTCGAGACAGGCTCCAATCCTTGAGTAGCGTCGAGAGGCGCAAGAGGTAACGACCACGAACCATCGGTTCCATCAATCGTAGCTTTCATCGCCTCCGCTCCTCGAATGGAGACGCCGTCGCCATACTGCGGTGGGATGTCTTTAAGCACGACGCGTGAGGGGAAACACGGATGAGATAGCAAATGTGTCCATCTAGCTTTTCGTTGTCAAGTAGATGTGGCAACAGTCGAACCCACACATTTGCCAATGGATGCACGGCAACATCAAGAGTGTGATACTGAACTACACGAATGTCATGTGCGTCAAAAGTCATGTGTACCTTTAACGTGGGTGTAGAAGTCTGATTTTCCCGCCATGTACGCTGGCCTCATTTCAAGGGCCTCGAACCAGCGATTGATCGAAGGCCACCTCTCGTTTCCACGAAGCTGTAAACCCTTCCAGTAGGCCGTGGAGGCGGCCATACGCTCCAAATGCGGTACGTACGTCAGATCAACCAGACTGAAGCCGTCATCTGGGCTACCGTTGGCAGCTTCGTCCTCAGAAGCGGATGACGGGAGAAACCACGGTCCAGGAGAGGAAGCCAGTGCCGAGTTCACCTCATCCAACGTCTTTTCCAGAGCTCCCCGGCTTGAGTCTCCTGAACGAAACACGAACTGGCACCACCACCTGAAGAGTTCACGCTCCAGATTGAGGAGCCTTACCGCCTCTTGGAATTCTGGAGACTCGCGGTCTGGCAGCATGCGTCGTGGTTCTGGAAACGTGGCCTCCAGGGTTTGCATGATCGAGAGGCTCTCGGTCATCAGTTCGCCGTCGAGGCTAATCGCGGGTAGGAGTCCGGATGGAACCTTGGCTAGGTAGCTAGAAGGTTTGTCACCGTAGCTCCTCATGTTTATTTTTTCTACGCGAAAGGGTATCCGCTTCTCTTCGAGCATGAGCCATACCTCGTTCGAGAAGACGTATGCACCGCAGACAGAGCAAGAAGAGAGAAGCACATCGTTGGGAGAATTAACAAGTTCAGGTGCGACCTCCGCACGAAGATCGGCCACATGCCACTGCGCTGACACACAAAATGTGGTGCGACGGGTGTCACGACAAAATGTTCATATTGAACGAAACAACGTTGATTTTGTGCGAAGGGCACATCTCAGGTTATCACACCTTTTGGCAGTAGGGGCACCATGCCGCGGTATCTCGGTAAAACACGACCCTCGGCTCCCCTGTGGTCCCGAAGAGCCTGAGCTTTGCGTCTGTGTGTGGGGGACCAGCACCTGCATCCCACAGCCTGCCTCCAAGCGCAAAAGGATCATGTCACACTATTGCACAGAAACGAACACTGATGTTGTGACCCGCATCCATATCCGTCACGTACGCGACGCGACGAAACGACAACAGAAACAGTACAACAGAGGATCCCAATCCACGCGGCAATCCGTGCACCTTTTGTTTTCCTCTATTCCGGCACCCGTCGGCGTGGCAATGGCTTCGCCGCGAAGGCTGGACCAGGAAGGGTCCGGAGAGTCACCGAAAAGCGCAGGACCAGTTGGGCCAGCACCTCCACTTGCTCCCAGGTTTGACGCCATGTTCCCGATATCGTCTAGAAGACCGGCACGAAGAGAAGCCACACCACGGCTTGATGTAAACAAGTGGCACCGGGATGGTACGTAATTATAGTCAGGACGGCCGTAGTACATGGGCGATAATTATATAATCATGCTTTGTGATCCGAAACGAAAATACATGAACGGGTTCTTCCAACGAATTCCTCCACCATCCCTACATGTGTCGTATAAAGATGGGTTTGTGCGGCATGCATCCGTATCGTCCAAATGCACCCCAACAGGAGCTACACAGCAGTGGGCAGGAACGACCGCGAACAAAATGTTACCAACCTTACACCCGGAGCCTACACCTGAGCAGCGTCGAACTGCTGTGCATTCATTCTCTTATCTAGCTCGCACAGACCCGCGGTGTAGAGACACTTTTTTTAAGGAGAGCGACTTCCACCCTGTTGTTTGATCCCTGGTACCCGTATGGCACTGCTGTTCAAACGAAGTCGGGCGCTATGCGTCCTGCATAGACTATGGATGCTGCTGACGTGTCAATATGGGATGCTAACGGGCGATCTTACATGCACATCGCGAGAAGTCCTTACCTCTTGAAAACAGCCGAAGGAGTAGAAAAGCTGAGCACTCTTCTTGCCTGCAGAATGTAGAGGAAAACGGCTACACCCCTCGTGAGCATTGTTGTCATGATCTTATTTCACGTCGGATGAGAGAGAGCGTGAGGGCATGCGGACATCCGAAGGGGACAGACACATGAAAAAAATGCGGTGCAACTACTACTGTATGTATTTATGTATTTTGGTCTAACTCGAAATTTGTCTTTTATCTCGTTCACCTCCTGCACCCTGGACACACATGTATCAACTCCATAGCAGGTAGAGCAGCTGACAGATAGAGAGTGGTGCAAAGCAACGATCATAATACAGATCATAGGCGGCGTGATGACAGCATCCAAGTCAGGATGTGCTCTGCTGGCAGCTCTTGCCGGAGTCTCGGCGTTCGTACCGCATGGACTGACCAAGACTGCTCAACAGCAGGTGAAGGGAGGGTTCGGGCACGAGCACACCTCGGCTGCTTCTAGCCGACCGATGCGGATGTCTCTGGACGACGTATCCGAATCTAGGGGGGGGTTCTTGAAAGACTCCGCCTTGGGGCTGGCCGTAGGCGCGGTTGCGGTGGGCGCATCGACGGGAGCACCCCCGGCGGCTGAAGCAGCTACCGTAAGCGCGTGGGAGCAGATCCAGCTTCCTGTTGCGTCGGTGCTCTACGACATCGCGTTTGACCCAGAGCACCCTGACCATGGGCTCGTTGTTGGTGCTCAAGGAACCTTCCTCGAGGTGGGTGTACCGTGAGTTTGTTGCACCTCGCTTGTGCAGCAATTCCTGGTCGGTCCCGTCTCCCATGCGTTTGTTGGTCATTCTGACGCGGTAGCGAATCATACAAAATTACGTGTGTCATGACAACGTGTGTTCACGATGATATCAACGTGAGCCAACTACTGTCAACATGCTGTTTTTGTACTACTGTAGAAAGCACGCGACATGTGATGTGCATACAATGAAAGAAATCCTTTTGGACGCTTACAATCGCCGATTAGAGAACATGGCGGTAAACGGTTGTCTTACACGCTGCAGATGTTTGAGGGACCGGCATGTCCGCGATGTGTTCAGATCTGTTGTCACTGCCGTTACTTGCAAAAAATGAGACGGCAGCGAATGGCTTGAGGGTTGGAAGCAACCATATTTACGTATTAACAACAGGAGGAAGATCAAAATGTCACCTACCACGATCGTTACGAAGAGAGCGCACTGCTGTTCTTCGCCAAATGAAGAAACTAGGACAGACACAGCCTAGACAACATTACCCTCCCCAGAAAGCATTTCAAAACGCTATCAAGGTACAAAAATAGTAAACTTACACTCTGGGAAGCATCATGTTCAGACATACGACCCACATGTACTCTTCCCAAACCTGGAAACCTGAAAATCCCTACATTAAACCTGAGGCGGTTTCGTACGCTGTGATTTTGTAGGGTGGGGAGGGGTACTTTTCTTGGCCCAAAAAACAATTTGGGCTGCTTATTACGCGGAGGAAAATGGCATTTTCCAACAGCCCAAATTATCACAGCCCGAATATTTCCAAGAATCCCGGCGGTCCTGTTGGAAAATTGAAAATTGGCCCATTTTCCAACAGCGATCCTGTTGGAATATCGCTGTTAGAAATGGGGGGGGTACCCCCTGGTCACACCCCGATCGTGCCAGAACGAGGAACTACACCGTCTGCTGGCCAAACAGAGGCCAGTATCATGAGGGCATGCACAAACCCTCTGCAGGTATCAAAAATTCAGGGCGTTCCGCGTCGTGTTGGCCGCACACGAGCCGATCACGTCAACCCCGCCACATTGCTCTGCTGACGTTCTTGCCTTTGGGCCGAAAAGAGCCGTGTTTGAGCCTGCTGCATGTGTGAAGAGTTCAGAGCGCACGCCAGAGAGAGGCCTCAAGCCGTCGACATCCACAAACTGCAGCCAGTGGCGTGGGGTCATACTCATACCCTCTGCTCGCGCACCAGAAACAAATCGTATTGTCCATTTTTGATTGCACACGGCCTGCAAACGTGAACCAAAGTGTGTTGCGGTGTTGACTTTTTTGGATGTTGACTTTTTTTTCTGCTGCTTGCTCCGAGTCGAGTATGATCAGTGTACAACGCATGCCATCAGAGAGAGGCCTTTGGCGGACGACATCCACAAACTACAGCCACTGGCGTGCGATGATACACATGCCCTCTGCAGGCGACCCATAAACAGGGCGCTCGGTGTCTTGTTGGTCGCACACGAGCCAAAACCGTGTACTGAAGCATGTTGTGACTTACAACAGCAGGAATCAGCCTCCTTTTTCCCTTAAGAAAAAAACGTATTTTGTCGTGCCGTGCTATCGGAGATTTTTTCGCTGTTGGGCAAAACGCTCCCACAACAAACTGGTACAAGTGGCGGCCCGAACAACACGAGACACGCACGCAAGCAAGCAAGCACCATGGCACGGCCTAAGAAGAAGAAAATCGGCAAGCGCAGAGCCGATGGCCGGGCGGTTCCGAAGAAACCGAAGCCGGCGCAGCAACATGATCTTCCGTCACGCGGCGCTGGTGATGCGCTCTCCGACGGCCACGACAGCGCCGATTTGATGGACGTGGATCAGGAAGAAGGCAAGGCGGCGGCAGACGAGAATGGTAACGACGAGGACTGGTGCGATGAGGATACCAGCGGCGCACACAGCAATGGCAGAGGTCAGTCGATCCTGATTATTTTCGAAGTGGTCGGTGGCGTCCGCAGGTCGCGATGCAGGGAGTGCGGCGAAAAAAATCCGCCGCGTGTGCTGTCGAGAAGCCACCAATTTCGCAACAGAAAAAAACTTCTCCAGCAACAAGCAGTAGGCTTGGCACGAGCGATGGGAGCGTTCATCCGGAAGTCGCAGCAGCAGCAGCAGGAGCAGAAAGAGGAGGAGAGCTCCTCTGCCAGTGGTGGAGGTTGGCCCAGCAGAGAATTCAGCGGCGGTCTTAGAGGTTGAGTCGCACACAAGCTCTCCCGGCGGCGGCGGCGTTTTGGAGATGCGCCGCAGCAGCAACGGTAGCATCGGCAGCATCGGCAACATGGCGATAGCTTCGGGCCATGGGCTTAGCACAGATGAGTGGTGTAGTCGTGGAGGCCACGGGGGGGGGAGGGACACAAGCGGAAAAGGACGCCGCGGCGGCGAAGGCGTTGGCGGCTTCACAGGAATGCCGAACCTTCTCCACGAAGAGGGCAAAAAGGGCATTCAAGAAGTGGAAGAGGAAGCGCGCCATGGCGCAGGGAGGAGAGGAGAAGGAGGCCGACAACACTGCGTCGTGATGTGTGTGTCTTTACGTGCATAAACCAGATCTTCATTTAGTTTTTAGCACCCACAAAGGGTTGACTGCTCCCGAGTTTAGTGCATGCTGTATCGTATAGTGTAGTGATGTCTTCTTTTTTTTTTTCGTGTATAGACTACTGTGCGGAGTGTGGAGATTCGTTCACGTGTATACATTGGCGTGCTTGACCTTCTAGGGTGTTGTCTAGCAAGCGTGGTATAGCATCTGTACAAATGCAAACAAGGGTTGTCGTGGTGTATTTAGAGCAGGCGGTAGAGGGGCAGGAGGGCTCTTCGGGGGCACGGTTAGGGGGTTCCGTGAATGCATAGGGGGTATGTCGTGTTTGGGGGGCTCCGTGTATAATTTTTGCCAAAAATGTTGTGTATCGCCAAAAAAAATAACTCTGCAGCTATCGACGTATCTCGACAAGGCGGTCACGACTTTCGTTGTTTCACGTTCCAACTCTTTTTCCAAACGAAGTTATCGCACAAAACGTAATTGGACAAATTGTTGTGCACGGACTATATGTATCTGATCACACGCCACTGGCTGCAGTTTGTGGATGTGGACGGGGTAAAGCCTCTCTCTGGCGTGCGTCTTGGCCGTTCACACATGCAGCAGGCACAAAAACGGCTCCTTTCGGCCCGAAGGCAAGAACGTCAGCAGAGCAATGTGGCGGGGTTGACGTGATCGGCTCGTGTGCGGCCAACACGACGCGGAACGCCCTGAATTTTTGATACCTGCAGAGGGTTTGTGCATGACCTCATGATGATGCTGGCCTCTGTTTGGCCGGCAGACGGTGTAGTTCCTCGTTCTGGCACGATCGGGGTGTGACCAGGGAGTGACGTCCCCGAAATCCAAACTGGAAATTATCAGCCGATCCAGTATCGTAAATAGGCCCATTTTAAAACGCGGCAGCTGGGATCCAAGGAAATTTTCGGTGATTTGGAATTTGGGCGTTTGGAAATGGCCAAATTGCTCCGCGTAAGACGCTCAAATAATTATTTGGGCTGAGGAAAGGACCCCCCCAAGAAATCAAAATCCCAAAATAATCACGACGCAAGACAGGCCTAAACAACAATTATTTTTGAAAAAAACACCCTACATACAAGTTATTATTGGATATTATCGTTCCCACCACGACAGATATCTGAAACCTCGCTGCTGGTGGGCTAGATAGGCCCTCTCTGGGAGTACTCAATGTCACTGCTGTCTATGGGTGCTGTGAGTACTGTCGGCAGACCGGTTGTTCGTACAGCGCCTGGAAGGATCACGTGTAACGTAGGGCATGCTGGAACAGCAGTGTTGCTGGCAAATATTTGTTTTTGATGCGACGGAAGCGACACAAGGCACTGATGTCAAAGACCAGTAGTAGTCCATGCTTGCTTTTTGCATTCCCCAGGTTGCTCCAAGACAGCAAGTAAAACCCACCGCCGCACCTATGCTGATGTGCGGAAGCACTCTCTCTTCATGCAGTACAGGCTTGGTCGCCGTATTGGTATGTACTACGTAGGTTTTGGTTTCTCTCCAGCAAGGGCATCTTAAATGTACACATTAACTGTACCTTTTCGTGACATTGCTGGTGCGCCTGACTGCTGATATCGCCCAGACGTTCGACGGGGGGTACAAATGGAGTGTTCGGACTTTTGGCAACTTGGATGAGGAGGAGGAGATCAACTACCGCTTCCAAAAGGTGGGAAGTCATCTGTACACTGCGGAAACTTTGTAGCCATACGTCGAGGGCACCGGACGGGGCGTGTGATCAAGTGTTACATCATCCACGATCGCACGATGCAATTGTTCAACCAGTGCGTGCATTGTTGCAGATTATTTTTCTATTGAACACACAGCCCAGCACGTCGTGTTTCGTCGGGATCGCCGAGTTTGAGTGGGTGTTGACTTACGGTACAACTACCTGAAGAGCAATATGACACGCTGCATTGCTAGCATGGCTTATAGGTCAGCGCATGGAGCAGCTGTCAAGCTACTGGAAGCATGCCGATGGTTTTCAAGGTCGCACTCCGTCCCACATGCAGGTTTCCATGTACAACGACGAGATTTTCATCATTGGGAAACCGCCAATCCTCCTCCACAGCAAGGACGCCGGAAAGACCTGGGAACGCGTACCTCTCTCACCTAAGGTTAGTTTTCACACATGATTCGTATGCTGTGAGGAAGCCGATGTCCCCGACTAAGATGCAAGCCGATGTTTGATCGCTTCCCATTCGGAGAGCGATCGCGGTGGCTTCATGCAGCGATGTGTGTTGTGCGGTAGACACATGTTCAAGTTGATAACGGAAGGTTATCATAAGTAGTTGCTTGAGGAGCGCCTTACAATGATGATTTCCCGAAGTAACCGGGTATTCCCAAGTGTAGTGAAGTTATTTTCGGATCAGCTGTGACTCTTCCTTACGCGATGCGTTTTGCCCGCTCTCTGGCGTTTCCATTGGGCCGATACAGCTTCCTGGAGAACCGTCCAACATCGTCGCACTGGGCGGTGCGAAGGCCGAAATGACCACCTCGTCTGGAGCGATTTACTACACCAAGAATGCCGGGATGAACTGGTCTGCGCAGGTGCGAGAAGTGGCATTCTAGGCAACTGTTACAGGTTCCAATATTGCTCTGTTGTGCGACCCACACGTGACAGCTGGAGCACGGAGCCGCACCACCGTACTTGTATATAGGCAAGACGGGATTATCTCTTGTGCTGGCCTCCTCTCCAGTCGTTCATCCCTCACCTTCCCCGTTGGTCGTTGCGATTGAACTTGCCTGTACCAGGTGAAGGAAACGGTGGATGCCACGTTGAACCGAATTTCTTCGAGCGGAGTGAGCGGTGCAAGCTACTTCACCGGGTCTATTATCGGGACCACCAGGTGTGTAGGGTCCCTCGGTCCGCTGTAAGGCACGACTCGTTGAACATCATCCGTAGTGTCAAACACGATTTGGCCCATGATGTGTGCGATACTTGCAATGCTCTTGATACCATTCCGAAGGCTGCCGTAGTGTACGGTTACGGGGCAGTGCAACACAGAGTTGCTTCCAGGCTAGCCCTGAACCTTGCATTCTGCAAATATAATTGCTGCGTAAAGAAGAAAGGTGGCATGCTCGTGAGCCTCCCAAAACCTTTTACACGCTGCCCAGATACCTGTGCTGCGGTGTATCCACTATTAGTGCATCAACACTTCGCCGTATTCTGCGTACAGCAGTGTGACCACAGTACCCACGCTTGTCGCGCGCATGCAGGGCGGAGGACGGATCCTACTTGGCCGTGTCATCTCGCGGTAACTTCTACCTCACATGGTCCCCTGGACAGGACTTTTGGATCCCACACAACAGGTAAGCCAGCAAAGCATCGTACAACGAGTGTTGATAGGTTGGTCATCCATGAAGCAACATTGGTCGAGCAAGCTCAATTGGAATGCAACGTTGTCGCGATATATCCGTCGTTTTTGTCCCTCTGTTCGCTCCGCATACGATCAATCATTTGCTGCAACCTGGGTGTCTGCTGGAACGGCTCGGACTCGTCTTGTTTCCTCCACCTGTAGAGGAACATCTCGGCGCATCCAAAACATGGGCTTCGTGAGGGGCCGTGCGGCAGAGGGGCTGTGGATGACGCTCAACGGCGGAGCAATGCAGATGTCAAAGACCCTACCCGAAGGAACGAATGACCCCGTATTTTCGGAAACAGCGATCAAGTCTGGTGGCTACGGAATCATTGATGTCGCGTGGAAGGTAGGCAGAGACTACTTGAAGTTCCGTTTAGTGCAGATAATTGAACTGTCTGCGATCACTCCCACGTGATTTTGCTTCGCTGTCTTTGTTCAAGGAAGCTCGTGCGTTCCACCCACGTATCCGCCTGTGCATCCTGTGCAATTATTACGAGGCTTATTCGTTTTCTTTTGCCCTCATGCCCCCAGAACGACAACGAGGCGTGGGCTGTTGGTGGAGGTGGGAGTCTGTGGTATTCCACAGATGGTGGCGAAACGTTCAAGTTTAGTTCCGGCGCGACCAACATCGGGGCGAACCTTTACGACGTGAAGTTTTTCGGAGGAGACAAGGGATTTGCTATCGGATCTGACGGTGTGCTTCTCAAGTGAGTGCGATTGGATGACGAGACTGTTTCTATCAGAGCACAGCATTGGCGTGTTGTTTTTGTTTCGTTGTTTGTTTTTCTCCCATCATTGGATTCTGTCGTCTGCCCCTCTGGCCCCTATCCTCCACTTCTACTAGCTAGACGACCCAACCGGGGTCACATAGGAGGGGGGGGCTGGACCCCCTCCTGCGGTTCCTGCCTGAGGTATTTTTATCGCGAGAAGGGTACAGCAATCCCTTCCCTCGCGACTTACAAAGTCGATTATGGTTTACTAACAACGAGCTTTGCAACGCGTCGCTTTCATCCTAGACCAGGATTTTAGTGAGAAAAAAACTCACTCTGCCGGGACTCGGACCCATGACCTTGCCCTTAGCAGGCTGCGAGGTTACCCACTAGACCACGGGGGCGACCGGGTCATGTGTACCCTTTCCGTTTCTAGAATCTATCGTCCGTTCCCTCGTTCACGGTTGTACATCTGCCTTGACTATTCGCGCAAGCGTTTCGAGTGTAAGTATTTTCCCCGTATTTTCCCCGTCGATTTACCCTGCCTCTTCATTTTCCCGCCCGCACTGCTGTATCGTTTCTCGTCTTGAAATGCCCCAGATACATCCCGGACCAGTTGTGAACAGAGAAGCAGGAACGGTCTGGGAATCGAGCAAAGAGGATTCCAGCAAGAGCTTGCATAGATCGAGGGCACCTGATCTTTGCGATTGTAGGGACGTGATTTGCACTTGAAAATGGAAATCAACAGATTAGATGGTTAGTAATACAGGGGCGACATAGGCCGTATAGAGAGGACAGACATACCTGATGTAACCTTGCGTGAGGACCAGATGCCACATGCTTAGTGTACCGGTACTGGTATTTTCGTTGTTTAGAATTGTTGCGGTGCTAACTCTCATCCGGTGCATAGGAAGGATTTCAGCGGAAACATGAAGATGGCGGCGGCGTGCGTTTCCGTTTTTCGACCACTCCGGAGTATAGGTAAAGTTGTTCGGTTGCCTTACGGCCATTTCGGGCATGAAGTTGCCAAACGGGCGACATAGCGGTCGTTCTTGAACACGTTTCCTATCAAGTGGGTTTAATTGATGATTATGGCCAATACTTCGCCTCAATCGCTGAACCGATTGACACGAGCGGGTGGTTAGTTGTTGTTGTTGTCCACATCTGCCGCCTCTCTCTGCGTGGTCTTCGTTTATCGCGTTGGAAAAACTCACTGGACGAGGTGCTGTCCATGAAGTCATATATTTTCGCACAAGGCTCGTCGAAACTCACGGAGCCAGCTACCTAACTCAAGTGAATGGTAAAATGTCTTGACCGCTGAAGGGCGTGTTGTGATCCATGATTATTTCAAGGTGCGCAATTTTCACGCAAGATTTTTCCAACACCAGCTTTTGGACAGATCATGGCCCAAGATTTGCTCCGAGGTGGCCTTTCGGCCGAATCTTCAACATCTTGCTCTGCTGGAAAAAAATCAAACGTGGACCCTGGCGAAACATGTAGGCGATCTGTAGACATCTCAGCCAAAGCTGTGACTGTTCTCAAAGGTCGAAGAGCTGATTCGCACTCGTTCGGGAGGCAGACTGCCCAGAAAGAAGGTCGAAAAAGTCAACATTTGTCGAAAGAAAGGAACATGGAGATTTGGAAACCATAAACATGGGCCTCAGCGTTCATTCGTGGGGGGACCAAACTTTCGGCGTTCATTCGAGCATCCAATTTAAACCAAGTAGGGACGCAACGTGCCCCCAGGGATGAACAAGATACTGGACTATACGCGGTTGCAACATGTTTATCACCTAACTACACAAGACATACGGAAATAGCTGTAGATACCCTATTATATAGAGGATACTACACCAGCAGCAGTCGAAGGGGATGTGTTGAAAATCTCAATCTTTGCAGTGAGAGAGGAATGAACCTGTTGGATACCGGGCTTATCTAAATCTACACGACGTACAGCAGTGCTGTAAGATATCAGCAGGGATGTCAGCAAACTACAAGGACCAACAACCAGAAACGGGTATACTCGGGTTGTTGTTGTTGTTGTTGACTTCACATTAAACCGTATGCCAGTTTGCTAAATGCCAAAATCTAGCAAAGACTCTCGGCCCGTGGTCACGAAAGTGCTGGAGCCATCTGAGGATCTAAAGAACACGCACACGTAGCAAGAAAAAGGTGTACAAGAGCCCGAAGAGGTACTACTACACCTATATATAATCCCTGCAGCACCGTACGCGTGCCCAAAACTGAACTACACGTCCGTCTCACCGTTCGACTACA